TCCTCTAGGTTTCTTGCCATGCTGCGGATGCAAGCTTCAGACGAAGAAGTGAATGATGTGTGCTCCCGGCGCCTATTTTATAGTCGCACCGGTAGTGACGTCATGGCTGTTGCCAGCCAACGAGTTGGTGTTTTTTTCAATGTATGCTTCAGACACGGGTCACGACGAGGCGTTCCCCATAGCGACCCCTAGAGGACGCAGTGTCTCGTTCCCTACTCAGGGAACCATGGTTACATAAGTAACCTGAGACGTTTTAATTTCTTGCTGATTACTAGAGACGTACCGACTGACTGACAGCTTACTAATTCCCATCTCGACAACGTTCAGTGTTCTGCATTTCACTGCGAGAGAAAATTCAGCCAAGCTCTCTAGAAATGTCTGGAATATTCCTTAAAAAATGCTTTATATACTTTAGCCAGGAACTGTCAGGGGGGCTTCCACCATTATGATTTTTGTGAACTAACACTTTTGAAATGAAACTTGTATTTTGATGGTATGAAATTCATCTGCCAACTGTTCTTTTATACTGGTGAAGCTTTGACTTTTTACTTTTATCCAGCAAGGACGCATTACGTTGATCAAAAGTGACAGTATATACATTTATAAGGTTACAAAATATTTCTATTTCAAATAATTTCTGATATTTTGAACTGTCCTTTCATTCAAAATTCCGAAAACTCATGGTTTCCATAAAAATATTAACGGTACGACCATTTTCACCATTATAATTAGAAATGTTTCTTAAGTAGCAAATCAGCATATTAGAATGTTTTCTGAAGCATCATGTGACACTGAGTAATGTCTGCTGAAAATTCAGCTTTGCCATCACAGGAATAAATTACATTGTCAAATATATTCAATTAGAAAACAGTTATTTTTGTAATAATATTTTATAATATTACTGTGTTTACTATGTTTTTGATCAAATAAGCGTAGCCTTGGTGAGCATAATACACTTCTTTCAAAGACATAAAACAAACCTTACAGACACCAATCATTTCAACTGTGTAGTGTATGATGATATGGCATATATGAAGAGCAGATAATGTGTTCTTGAGAATTATACAAATGTTAATCACACTGAAGAAATGTCAGTTCTCCATTACAGAATGTTTTTTTATGTGACAGCATGCAGTGTTATTGAGACGTATACTTATTTTATGCATAGTATGTGACTTGAGTGATGTTTGAATGTATTGTGTTGTCTTGTTTACTCATGCTTTTCTTCTTCACAGACTTGCCAAAAAATCTTGGTTTGGAAATTTTATTAACCTCGAAAAGGAGGAGCAGATCTTTGTGGTTATTCGGGACAAGCCTCTGAGCTCCATCAAAGCAGATATTGTACACGCCTTTCTCTCTGTAAGTCTCCAATGAATATGTGAATTCTTTCAACATTTACTCACCCTCATGCTATTCCAAACCTGTTCAACTTTCTTACATTCTTGAGGCTTTTTAAGTTTAAAAAAATGATGCAAAAGCACCATAGAAATATCAGAAGTATCAGACTTGTGTGCTATATTCCAAGTCTTCTAAAGCTAAGCAATTACTCTGTGTGACAACAGACCAGTATTGAAGTTATTCACTGATAATCTTCCGCTCTAGTGTGCTGTTAAGCTTTACTAAGTCTGTCAGCTCAGCCGAGTTGAACAAATCATTCAGACCAGTTTTTTTAACTGTATCAACTGACTGAAAAGTTCTGATTCAAAATAGATTCATTGGCCAATCTGATATTGCTTAATGAATACATGAAAGAGAGCTAAGATGGATGTCAAGATTTTCAGTGAATAGCAAGTTTTAGTCTGTTACTCACACGAATCATATGACTTCAGAGAACTTAAAAACGTAGCACACAAGTCATATAGACCACTTTTAAGGAGCTTTTTTGTCATTTTGGAACTTGACAGGCTAAGGTCTCCTTCATTGTCATTATATTGAAAAGGCGGCCCAGGATATACTTGAAAATTTACCTTTTGAAGAAAGTCATTAGTTTCTAAAGGCATGAATAATACCCCTCTGGTGCTCTTTGGTCATTTTTGACTGAAAATGTATTTATTTATTTATTTTTCGTTTTTTTAAATTCATCAGAATGGCACAACACTTGGTAAATGTTTTGGCACTTGCTATGTGAACTGAATAAATAAATAAAAAATAAAATAAATAAATCATGAACATGATTTGAAAAAGTGAAATGGACACTTGTACCCTTCGCAATCAATCAAAATTGACCGCATTAGAAACTAAAGCTCAGTTTTTGAGCTATCAACCTAACTTTTCCACAACATTCTATCTTATTGAGTAATTTCACCTGTATATATATATATATATATATATATATATATATACATAGTGCAGTTTTAGAGAAAAACTTGTAGCTTAAAACCAAACCTAAGTCTACTACAGTTCAAGTTGGAAATTTCATTTTCAGGTCTCATAAAATAAAATTTAGTACCACGAAATCCCATAAAATTCCTTTAAGACATTTAAAACCTCTGTCTTTTTGTCTCAGATTCCCAGCCTCAGCCACAGTGTGGTGTCTCAGACGAGTTTCCGGGCAGAATACAAATCCACAGCTGGCCCCACTGTGTTCCAAAAGCCAGTGAAGTTCCAGGTGGACATCACATATTCCGAAAGCACGGCTGCCACCAAGGAGAATGGCATCTACTCTGTCACTTTCACACTGCTCTCAGGTAACCATGCCGACAGTGAGAAGCCCATTTTGATGTCATAAACTTGCTGACAGCCAATAGAAATGCAGAGGGGTATGTGTGGGTGATGGAGAGGCTGGTTGATGATGTTGAACTTTGTCCCTTGCAGTGGTGAGAGCATTTTTCTCTCCCTCTCTCTCATTCCTCTAGCAATCCTCTCCTCCATTACACTCACCCTCTCTTAAAAAGATGCTGAAAATAGACAAACTGCTCTAGGGGGTAATGGAAAAATGTTTACTAAAAGAGGCCTTTTTGCCTCCTGGTAATCACTATGCATTTTCAACCTGCTGTGTTTCAAAGGACAATCCGAAAAGATCCTGCGCTGCTAGTGCCGTTACTGCAAACCCTGTCCCTCGCTTTTTATTTTTATATTTTGCTCTCTTGGCTACACAAAGGGGATTGAATCTTGTTCTTAAAGTCACACATTTCAAAGTGCGCGTGTGTGTGTGTGTGTGTGTGTGTGTGTGTGTGTGCACGTGTCATAAACTCAGCCGTGGGCCGAATGCACCATAAAAATCAGCCTCATTCCATTAGATTTTATGAGGCTGCTGCTAGGGGGAATAAACCCAGGATGTGGCAGCATAAATGTACATTCATTTCAAAAGGCATGTACCAGTTTGTACAGGATCATTGCGAAACATTCAAATGGGTTTCTGTGTGTGTGTGTCCCTGGCAGGTCCCAGCCGACGCTTCAAACGGGTGGTGGAGACGATTCAGGCTCAGTTGTTAAGTACACATGACCAGCCTGGTGTCCAGCAGCTGTCTGGTGAGTGGCCAGTCACTCCACTGACACACCTCTTTCTCTGTCTCTCTCTCTCTCTCTCTTTCTGCTCTCTTACACAGCATCCTGAACATGCATGGCGCCTAGCCCATCCTTGCAGAGCACTGAACGCTGCACACACCCATCAAGGTCAAATGAGTCTTTCCAGTGTTTAAAATGGTTGTTAGAGGTGGTTTCAAATACATTTTCAGGCCGTCAGATTGTTAATATGAAAATAAACTTCTCACAGGGTTAAATACAATGTATCCACCGTTCCATTAATGCCAGATGTGATGTTTGATCTAAAGATTCTGGAAATACACGTTTGACCTTATCAAAGCACATTGCACAGAATTGCATTGCAAGGCACTGGCACACATGCACACACTCTCCTTAGCAGTCACTCACACTCAGAGAGCATGCTAGAGCACACTCGCGTGTATTAACAAGGGTTTATATACATATCCAGGAAGTTTCTTGCAGATACTTAAACTGAACCTGTGTCCCAAGTAAATTATCTGGCTTCAGACTGTTCATTCTAGAGCAGAAATGTGATGGGCTAGACTGTGGTTCCAGCTGGAGAGATGAAATGAAAAAAAAAAAACATCCTTCTCACATGTCTTTTTTTGTGTGCATGGTGAAGAGCCTGTTACAGCACCCTCTGCTGGACAGCCCCAAATTCTTACTGTCCAATAGCAATATCACTGAGTAAAACAGAAAAGGGAGTTTGGCATGTCATAATACCGTAATATCATTCTGCATTATGTCTACTGTGCACAATTAGCACATTTGCATAAAATACCTGGATGACTGACTTAATATGCCAATGCACACTGCACTATATCCAACAATGCAATGTGTTCCACTTCCATTTCCAGTGTATTGGAATACACAAAGGGAATCTATCTGATGTATATATTTGATTTATTTGATTAAACTGGCAAATAAAAATAAAGATTTAGTTCAGAAATGCAAAATAACAATTTAATCACTGCCTGTAATGTTTAGAGCTGCATCAAGGCTGGAATACACTACACAACCTTTAGTATCTTTAGTAGTTTGGAAAACAACAAACTCATGCAGAAACATGCGCCTTGTTGCATGTGTTTTAAAATGGAGTCAAATTATATATGCCAGATGTCCTTCAACTGAATCATTGTCAGAAGCTAAAAAAATCTGAGTCTGTGCCCATAATACACTATTTTCAGTTTTTTTGTGAAATCTGTCAGCTCAAATCTGCATACTGGCTCGAACTTTGAGCAACTAGCGTTGATTTGTCCAAACTAAAAATCAGGGCAAAAATATAGCCAAAAGTCATATAGCTTTAATGCTTGGTTTCAAATATGTCTTTTAAAAATAGTAGGCAGTATACAGTGTACTGGTAATGTGCTAGTATTCATTTAGTACTTTTGATACGGAAGGTCAATTTTCACTTTTTTTTTTAATGAGGTACAGTGCAATACGTCATACAGTGTGCTCTGGTTGTACACTGCATTTATATTTTGACAAACAGGTCATCCATGTATTCCATGTTTCATACAGAAAATTATTGTACACAGTATAACCTACATTCTGCATACTTAAAAAAAATATTAGCCTTTTAGTATGATAGTATGACATTTCAAACCCCTCTCTCTCAGTGCCTCATTCTAAAAATATGAATAAAACAGAATATGTAATTATTCATATTGTGCATTTGGACTGTCTTAAAGAAAAGAGCTGCAGGATCGTGACCCACCACCAGTGTAGCTTTAAAGATGTGCCCTTTTCTCACCCTGTCAATCACGCCCTTCCCTTCCCTTCCCCTGGCTTTGCCCTTCACCCCCTGCTCTCCCACGGCTGTTGGTCATGGCGTCTGTTGAGTGAATGGGCATGAGAGCTTGAGTGTCCTTACTGACCGTGAGCAGACCTGCACAGCAATGAGCACCAGCATGCTTCACTCTCTCAACAGATGTGGCCACGTAATAAACATCTGTGCAAGGAGGTTGAATCACTGAGTTCATGCCGTTACTGTAAAATCGATGAGGTGCATTGAGAATGTCATTTTAGGCTGAATATTTGATTTGATTGGACATGTTACAGTAATATGTCATGTTCCTTTGACAGGAAAGCGTTCAAAGGGTGGTAAGAGGTCTATTTTAACTCTTCTGCCACAGTGTACAT